GCGTGTTGGATTTGTTCACCAAAGATTCCCATCATCGCAACATCACCGTCTTGTATTTGACGCAAGATTTATTCCCGCCTGGCAAATTTTCCAAGACCATTAATCGCAACGCGCATTACATTGTGGCCTTCAAGAATCCCCGGGATCAAACGGGCATACGCACCATTTTACTGCAAGCCTTTCCCGACCGATGGCGTCAAGTCTTGCGCCTATTTAAACGCATCACGTCCCGTCCCTTTGGCTATTTGATGTTGGATGTGCATCCGGCGTCGGATGATCGGTACCGATTGTGGAGTCATTTAACGCGCCGAGAAGGCAAGGCGCAAGTCCATACCCTTCCCGTGGATGTCCCTGCCGTTCGAAAACGAGCTGCAACGAGAACTCGCCAGGGTCCGTCGGCAAAGAGAAGGCGGACAACAACGTGACTTATCGGTCCGCATGGACACCCCGACTTTCTCGCCCGCTGGCGTGGGTTCGCCCACCGCCCCTCCCCTAGATCTCAGTACCATGACGGACATGGTCGCGGAATTGACCCAACCCGTGGATCGAGCCCAATTGGATCAAGAGATTGAGGATTTTAACTTGACCTACCCGGTCAATGTGGACGATGCCCTGAATGCGTTTACCTTACCCCCCGTGGCAGGCACAGGCACTACCACCACGGCACCGCCACCGCCACCACCACCTACTATCACCACCGCTCCTACCACGACAGCCACCCAAACCCGTCCCACCACGTCCACCCGCACACGTCCCACGGCCACTACCACCACCAGCTCCAGACGACCCAGACCACGCCCTGTCACCACCGCCACGACCACCACGGCTCCCTCCCGCCCCTCCACCGCCCGACGCAGTGCTGGAGGAGGCACCAGGACCACCACTTCCACGGTGACGACCCCGACTGGTCGTCCCACCATCGCCACCAAACAACCGCGACGACGTCCCCGCGTGCCCTCTCCACCGTCCCCCGATTCCTCCCCTCCGTCGGAGGACGAGGATGAAGATGATGATGACGATGATCGACGACGAGGATTAAGGCGACGGTTGGATTTGCTGAATGAAGATGCTCAAGAACGGGCTCGAGGGAGACGCATTCGCAATATCACGCATACCAATACCGTCACCACCGTGTATGAAGAGGGAGGGCGACCTTCGGTACGTCGCACGTCGACGCGAACTTCCAGCCCAAGTCCACCCCCTGCACCACCCCGCCGAGGCCGTGGCCGTGGCCGAGCCCGTGGACGGGGTCGACGCCCGTGAACAAAAAGATATAAAAACAGGGTCCTTCCTTCGACTGTCCCAAAACCATGTGTGGCCGATGTCGAAGCGGGATGGCCCCTAGACGCAAACGCAAACGCACCACGACCCGACGTCGATCCCCCGCCAAACGACGAAGGGGTCAAGTAGGGGGTGTCGGGCCCGGCCTGCCTCTCGGGATTCTCAAAGCCGGGTATGGGATCACCAAAGCCATCGGGGATCATCAACAAAAGCGAGCCCAAGCCATTATTGACAAACGCACACGAGAGTGGGAATCTGGCAAACGGAAACGCTATGCGGGGGAATCATTTGTTTGTTCCATTATGTGAAAAAAAGTATAAAAGACAAGAGGCGTGTCTTTCGTTGGACAGATAAGGGATTATCATGCACTGTGGTCCACGACGACGAACACGACGCCGAAAGCAACGAGGGGGTATTCTCCCGCTCCTCCTCCCTATTGCCGTCGGTGCAGCCATCGCCTTGAAAAAAAAGAAAAAGAAAAAAGTGGGCAAGATCAGTGCCAAGCAACAGGCATTCATTCAACGACGGGTTCAGCGGATGTTAGGTCGAACGGGTTGGGGCGGGTTTAAAAAACGCTGAGAAGGCTATAAAAGACACGCTGGGTAGGGACCCAGACGTCAATTGAGGATGGTCCGTGGACCCAATGGACGCCGACACCGTTATGTCCCCCGAAAACGACGCCGTCGACGTGGTCTGCAACGCGGCGCTAAGTTACCGCTGTTGGCAATGGCTCTCTCGCCTTTGTGGCTCCGAAAATACAAACCCAGGGTCCGTCTTCGTCGACCGGACTAGACCCCCTCGCAAGGCCATAACGTTGACGTTAGAGTGGACGGAGGAGATCGAGGCCGCGTTGTGTCAACGATGTCGACGTCATATGCAACGGCATTATCATGGGGAACTGTGTCGTTCATGTGGGGCCCAATTTACCATAAATAGAGCGGGGTCGTGGCAATTCCTCAACCTTCAGCATGGCGTGGCGCATGGAACGTCAAGCCCCGTTCTTGAAAAGTGTCTTACAAGAAGCCAATCAACATAAACGACAAGAATTGTTGCGGATGGCGAATGCGGATCAGATCAATGCCATCAGTGAATTGGTGATGAACACGCTCCGTGGCACTGTGCCCCGTTCTCGACATACCATCACGTTGCTCAAACCTCATGCCCAGAGTTTACGCGCCATGGCCAAACCCGCGCATTCGGCGAAACGACGGCGCGCCATCATGATGGCTCAAACAGGCGGCGCCCTCTGGCCTGAACTCTACCGATGTTATAAACGTTGCATGCGCTAAAGGAGACACCTCAGTTGCATCATGGAACCCGAGATGGTGAGCACCACGGTGGACAACGCCCCTGCTTTTTTACAATTAAAAGAGAAGTACAAACAAGAATTGGTGGAAGATACTCGCTTGAGTAAAGCCGCGGATTTGGCGGCCAAACAACATGTGCTCCTGACCAGTGAGGTCCCGGATGCCTGGAAACGACCGCAACTCAAAGCCGTGAGCCGTCAATTACGCCATTGAACCAAAAAAGTGCGCCAACCCTTTGGAGCGCCAGCGGGGAGTGTGCGCGCCGCAGGGGCCGCCACGCCCGGCGAGGATGATGATTTTGAGGCGGGGCCTATGCAAGCGTGGTTCACGCAGTTGGTCAAAGCCACCAAAGGTATAAAACAAGGGTCCACGTCTGCAGGACCCAGAAAACCACCTGTCCCGCCTAAACCGAACATCACCCCCAGTGCTAAAAAGAAACTCAAGTTTACGCCCCAAGTGAGCAGTGCCGACTTGGCCGAAGGGTTGCCTGGTACCTCGAAATCGACCTCGATTTCTTCCACGCTCTCTCCAGCTATTAAGAAACATCTTAGAAAGAAAGCGAAGGCGGTGGTCAAAAAGAAAGGCATCAGTCTGGCCAAGAAAGCCTTGGATTGGAAATCGTGGAAAACCCCGTGATGGGACGGAGACGTCGTGCTACGGCTGCCTCCCGTGCCCGACCGAGGCGACGACGACGATCGCAACGCGGGGGCAAGTTATTTGATGTGCAAAACCTCCTCAACAAGACGGGCATTGAATTTCATTGGCCCGGCTATCAGTATATGGGCCCTGGCACCTCGGTTAGACAGGATTGCGAAAGTGCATGACATGGACTACGATAAAGCCAAGACATTGAAAGATAAATGGGTGGCGGATCGCAAGATGATTGCCAAGATTGATCAACTCCCTGGTCGCAAAACCCTGACGGATCGTATTGTGAGACACATTATGAAAACCAAACTGAGATTGGGCATGTAATTAGTTGAACACAGTCATCACAAGATAACAAGATTGAATGATATAATCACATGTTTTAATAAACTCTTCTTTGTTCTTACAAATACCGCTGCAATTGTTGTAACGCGTTTGAACGAGTCGATTGTACAGGGTCCTCTTCAGGCTCGGACTCGGTCCAGTCTAACGGCAACCACGGGAGGGGAAAAGGACGTTCCAAATGCTCGGCCAATCGTTGATTTCGTAGGGACGCCATCCGCTTCTGATATTTTTCTTTCTGCAATGCTCTCCACCCCTCCTCCCCTAAGGCTCGTTGTTTCTCGTCCCGGAGTTGTCGCCGCCGCGCATTCAAGCGTTCTTTGTAGGCCTCGAAGGTCCCCTCCTCCTTCATTTTCGCCATCCAGTTTTTTTGGGCTTGTGCGTTCCTGCGTTTCACCTCACTCCGCTGCTCTTCCGGCATGGCATAGTAGCGCTTCATCCCATACTCCACTTTTTTAGCTTTAAAGGCCTCATACTCCCCGTTGGCCTTCATCCGCGCCATGCGTTCGTGGTAGCGTCGACGGTTGAGGGCTTTCACTTTCTCGATGCCGTTTACGGACGCATACTGTCGCAGCCGATACAGTTTTTGGTTCCGTTTATTGAGCTCGCGGTCCCTCTTTTTGCGTGGTTGGCTCGATCCGGGTGTATCCATGGTCTAACTCCAGCAATCGGGCAGCACACACGTCTGCCAAGGCCCGTAACTTTCGGAATGGACTCTCGATTCTCTGTCGAGCTTTGGCACGTCGGTCCCGCTGCTGTTGTGCAATTTGCTCGCGGTTCCGATGATAGTAGTCTCGGTTCAATAAACGTACATAGGCCGTGTTTTTGGTTCGATACCGTTGACAGGCCAGTCGGTTGGCTTCTCGGGCTTGCGCTTCCTGTTCGGGTGTCGGAGCTGGTTTAGGCGGTTTGGGTGGTTTCACTTTTTTCTGGGCCGCCCGCCGTTCACGTTTCTGCTGCAACAATCTCTCTTTGTTCTTTACGTACCACGCGTGTTTCAACTCTCTCGTTTTCTCAGGATCTTTGTTGGGCATCTCGAACTCACACTGACGTCTGTTCTGAACGACAGACTTTATCTAGGGTTCAATCCGCCAATCATCGATCTCGGTCCAGACCCAGAGGAGACTTGAGGAGTCTGTACCCATGGGGGGGACCGCCCCTGATCTTCCTCCTGTCAATCAACCCCCTCACCTGACTCTCACCTGAGCTTGGTCCACCAATCCCAGCGCAGGAGAGATCACGTGAGAAGGTCTATAAAAGTCCACGTCCAGCGCGGGAAAATTCAAATGGTTTTCCGCCGTCATGGCGGAGGCGTATCACTTCAGTGACGATGAAGAGGGGGATGCTCTGTTGGACCGCGCTTATGACCGTTGGGAACAGTTGGGAGGGGCTGCCGCCCGTGGCCCTCTCTTTCAATTCAGTATGCAACCCATCGGTCGACGACGCCGCTGGCGTGATGTAGTGGAGCGCGCCCAATTTAATGCGCAATTACGGCAATTGCGGGATCCTGTCCCTGGGGATAATATTGGAATGGCTTTGACCGAAACACTGCATCAAGCCATTGAAACAGAACTGGGCCGCGAGCAGCGACCTGCCCACCATTTCGTGAATTTTGCCATCACGGCGCATGGGTTCACCCACGCTTATCAAACAGCCAATTTTACCGTGGGGGAATTTTTACAACGCACGGCACGATTGGATGAGATGTTGGCCACCTTGGCCGGCAAGTTGAATAGCAATGAAGCCTTCAACCCCGATCGCGGTTTCCAAGTGGATGTGGTGTTTGTCTCTATGCCTGGTCGAGGGTCTGGTCGACATAAACAACGCAATGCGGGACGTCTATGCCTGGATCGAGACAACAAGAAAAAACGTTGTATCGTTACCATCCGAAACAGAGATGCCTTATGCTGTGCTCGCGCTATCGTCACCATGCGAGCCCACTGCCATAAAGATCAAGGCGTGGATGGGTTTCGCGACTGGGACAATCTCAAACGGGGGCGTCCTGTGCAGTTACGTCAAGCCCAAGCACTCCATCAGCAAGCGGGGGTGGCTGAGGGTCCCTGTGGTTTACCCGAGCTTCGCCAAATTCAACAGACGTTGGGGTCTCAGTATCAACTCTTGGTGATGACCCGGATGAAACCCTTTTTTCTCATCTTCAAAGGCCCTGACGCGCCTCATCCGATTCGTTTACTCAAATCCAACGATCATTTTGATGGTTGTACGTCCTTTCCTGCGTTTGTCAACCGCTCCTATTATTGCCTGGACTGTAAACGGGGGTTCAACACCAACGATCGGACCCATCACACTTGTCAAGGGAGACGCTGCCGTGCTTGTGGGCGCTTTGATTGTCAGGATTATGTGCGTGGCACCCGCCCCACGGAGTATTGCAGTCTGTGTCACCGCAAGTTTTACGGTGGGTATTGCAAACGTCATCATGAAGTCACTAAGCAATGTCAATCCATCAAAACCTGTCTCAAATGTCAGGCCCAGTACACGGTCGTCCCTAACAAACGTCACCAGTGCGGGTATGCCAAGTGTCCCGTCTGTCAGGAATGGGTACCCATCCAGGACCACAAGTGTTACATTCAACCCGTGGTAGAGAATGAGGAAGAAGAACCAACCGAGGAGGGGGGAGGTAGCATGGTGGCGCCACCCCCTCCCCTGTTTGTTTACGCCGATTTTGAAGCCATGCAGAATGCGGAAGGCGTGTTTGTGGCCAATTTGTTGTGTTATTCGTCCAGTGAAGAAACCACCATTCATGTGTTGGACGGGGAGGACTGTGCCCTACAATTTTTGCGCGAATTGGATGATCTCACGAACCTACCGGACACAGAGGGTGAACGGAACATTCTCGTGGTGTTTCACAACTTGAAAGGGTTTGACGGCATGTTTATTTTGCACGAACTGTACCAGCAACAACGCGAAGTGGTGGATCAACTGACAGTGGGCGCGAAAGTGTTGTCCTTCAGGAGCGGCGCTGTCAAATTCATTGACTCGTTGTGTTTCTTGCCCATGCCGTTGGCCTCGTTTCCCAGCACCTTCAATTTGACCGAATTAAAAAAGGGCTTCTTTCCGCATTTGTTCAATACCCCCGATCACCAACAGTATGTGGGCCGCATCCCCGATTTGGAATTTTACGATCCCGAGGGCATGATGGTCAAAAAGAAAGACGAACTGACGCGTTGGCATGCAGATCAATTCCGTCGCAATGTGCGCTTTGATTTCCGTCAAGAGATGATTGACTATTGCAAATCGGATATGGCTCTGTTGAAAGCGGGGTGTGAAGCTTTTCAGCAAGAATTTGAACGGCAGGCCGGTTTCAATCCTATGGCCAAGTGTATCACGATTGCCAGTGCCTGCAATCTGTATTGGCGCAAGCACCATTTGACCCTTGACACCATTGCAGTCGAACCGCTAGGGGGTTAGCGAGGGGCCCAAGTTAACCAATCGCTCAAGGCCCTGCAATGGCTGTACCATCAAGAACATCGAATTCCCAAGGAAGGGGCTTGTGCCGATCGCATTCGACACGTCCGGAATGGGGGTGAACAGTCGGTCCGAACCCTCGCCAACAGCTATTTCGTCGATGGCTACGATCCTCTGACCCGCACTGTCTACGAGTTCCACGGATGTCTCTACCATGGCTGTCCTACTTGTTATCCCATGAGAGATGTCACACATTATGCAGTGCCAGACCGAAGCGTCGAGGAACTCTATCAAGCCACGCTCTCCAAACGCATGGCGCTGCTCCGAGGGGGTTACACAGTGATAGAAATGTGGGAATGTGAATGGGACAAACTGGTGGACACGGATGAAGCCGTCCAACGTTTCCTGACGTCGTTCGATCTCCCCCCCACCCCTAGAACCTCGCGAGGCCTTCTTTGGGGGTCGTACTGGCGCCGTGGCCCAGCATGCGGTGGCTGGGGAGGGGGAGGAGATACGCTATGTGGATGTGACCTCTTTGTACCCGTGGGTGAACAAGAACTGCCCTTACCCCATTGGTCATCCCAAGATTATCACCCAACCTGCCGACCAGTCCTTGGAGTCCTATTTTGGATTGGCGACCGTGGATATTCTTCCCCCGGCTAGTCTATTCAACCCCGTCTTGCCTGTACGCTGTGGCCAAAAGCTCACCTTTCCTCTCTGCCGTGCCTGTGTCCAGACAGAGCAAGCCCAACCCATGTTGACCAGAACCCGCTATTGCCCTCATTCGGACGCCGATCGCACGCTACGCGGGACCTGGTGCACGCCCGAACTGGTCAAAGCTGTGGAAAAAGGGTACACCCTCATCAAGATCCACGAAGTCTGGCATTTTCCCCCCGAGCAACGCCAAACGGGTCTTTTCGCCCCTTACGTCAACACCTGGCTGAAGTTGAAACAAGAATCCGCGGGGTGGCCCAGTTGGTGTCAGACCCTCGAGCAGAAACGAGAGTACATTCTTCGCTATCAGGAACGGGAGGGGATCCGACTGGATATTGCCAGCATTGCCAAAAATCCCGGTCGCAAGGCTACCGCCAAGCTCATGCTGAACAGTTTCTGGGGCAAGTTTGGCGAGCGGATCAACAAACCCACCACCGTCACCGTCAGAGACCCCGCCCATTTGTTCAGCCTGATCTCCGATGCAGCTCTCGATCTCAGTACACTCCGCCTCTGTACCGACGACATCCTAGAGGCCGTTTACACCAGTGTCCAAGACAATGCCGTCAAAGGCACCAAAACCAATATCTTTGTGGCGGCCTTCACCACGTGCCATGCTCGACTCAAGCTCTACGAGTCCCTGGACACTCTTCAACAGCAAGTGCTTTACTACGATACCGACAGTGTGGTGTACAAGTGGCGTCCCGGTCAACCCTCTATCACCACGGGTGATTTTCTAGGAGACATGACGGATGAATTGGACGGGGACGTCATCACCGAGTTCGTTTCGGGGGGCGCTAAGAATTATGGGTACCAGACCCGTGGAGGTAAAGTGGTGTGCAAGGTCCGCGGTTTCACCTTGAATGTTCGGGGGTCGGCCATTCTTAATTTTCACACCATGAAAGAGAACATTCTCTCGGAATTAGACTCGCCTCAGGACTCTCGCCGAAATTTGAACATTGTCACCCCTTATCATTTCACACGGGATCTAGAGAAGAAACAAATTCAAGTGGTTCCGCGCGTGAAGCAGTATGGGTTGGTGTTTGACAAGCGCGTCATCGATGTGACCACCCGATCCAGCTTTCCCTATGGCTACGAGAGGATTGGGGATGAACTTGATCTTCTATTAGATTTGTAAGAATAAAAAAATGGGCGTGACGTCATTAGGACCTCACCTACGTCCCACTTGTCACCAGGTTCTACGCGGTCATTAAAAACTATGTGAAGAATGTGGATCAACCTCTTGTGTGTGCGTGTTCTTTTTCCCATGGGGTCACGTGAATTTCTATGCCCAAATATGAGCATTGTGACGTCAATTTGGTCACATGGGCTAAATGCTCGATTCTGATTGGTCGACAAAAATTTTGCTGCGCTGTGATTGGTCAGGACCTACTGTAGCCTCCTTTACTACTGTTACATATGCGTTACCAATTTGGGGGCGTAGTACAAATAAAAATGAATTTAATTCTTTCGAATCTATACATTGTAGGGCTGTTAGAGATATATATAACCTCCCGCGCGACATGCCCTCTGAGGATGTAAGAAAAACAGCTAACTGGGACTCTTTATTCGACACTTATAAGGTCAAAATAGCGACCTTAATTTATAATATATACAACCGCATAACTCCATCATGCTTGGAACATATAATCCAAAGGAAAGAGTCTAAGTATGACCTCCGTCATCAACATCGTGTTAGCGTGCAACGTTTTGAAACTTATTATATGAAAAACTCTATTTCTTACAGAG